GGCAACCAAGTTTGTAGTACTGGAGCTAGCGTGAAGCAAAGGTCCACTGGAATAGGACCGTTGTCCTGACGAGTAATCAGTGGCCACCAACCGCTCACTCTCGTCATCAGACGATGCGTAAGAAACACCCATTGGCACGCAACTGCTGTGCGCCGAAGCTGTGGGGTGCACCTCGCCAGGAATGTGAAACTCTATCCGGGAGGTAGACGGTTCTTCGGCCGTGGACGTTGTTGCCAATTCTGTGGGCAGTTGGATGCAACCTCCAAAGCTCTCACGAAAAGCGAGATTTCGTTTTCTGGGGAAATCCGCAGCTGACTGTTGGAACGGCAAACTGTCCGAAGAGGTTGTCGGGGCCAACTCCAGGTGTTGTAGCTGGCAATGCAAGTGGACAGCTTGTTCAGTTTCCATAGCCCGGTTCATGCGGCCGTTCGCCGAGCCTTCTTCGGTGCCGTCATGCAACCGTCGGTGCAGCGGATGCGATTCCCGTCAGCGCAATGGATTATTCTCTCTTGTGCGGGTCGAACGGGTCATTGAAATTCGTGTCCACACCCTGCAAAACAGCGGAGCAAACTGTAAGCACGGTCAGATTTATGCGTTGAGGGCACAAAGTTCGCCGGGATCCGAATTTGGCGGGTGCAGGAGTAGCAAGGAACCTGTTTTCGCGTGGCTTGTGTCGGTGGAAGGTAGCGCCAGTGGGTGCACACAAGGAACGCTATGATTGGGCGAACAGAAGGAAGGCTCTGTTGTCGGTGGACGATAGCACGCGCAGAACAAAGGGTAGAGGTGGATGCACCACCACATAATTCGGCGTAGCGCGACCCCAAACATACCCCTATAAACACCAATTCTCACCATCGTCTAAGTGAGCTCGTGCGGTGCTCCATTCGCTGGCACTAGTGCAATAGCGACCCCCGATTCGCGCGCCGGGAACGTCGACGTGCGACCGCGCGAACCAGACAGCACGCAGAAACACAAGCATGTCTGCGTCAAGACTCCGCACACCGCGACAGTCAAAACCCTTGGGGGTCAGAAAAGATCGTGGGTGCGAAAAATTGCTCGCCTTCTGAAATGCCCTTGAAGGGGTTTATGGGGGTTGCCGATGGTGACAACGGTCATGTCCCTTACTTTCGACAACCCCCATGAACCCCTTCAAGGGCATTTTAGAGGGCGAGCAATTTCTCGCACCCGCAGTCCTCTCGCAATGAACTCACATTTGAAGCTCCAGGCGCCATGCGAAGGACGGATAGATTTGCG